GTTATGAATTATTATTGTTAATTACCCTTTAAGGGGGGTGGATTCAGAACCACTTACAAAACCCAAAGGTATATTACAGTGAGCGTTTTGAGGTTCAAAGGGTCTTTAAAAATCGCTGATGGTGAAAAGACGTTCAGAATTGGTTTAAAAGTTTATGTTTTTTCACTGAGCTTTTGAAGACATTGATTGAACGATTACATGTAGACCATATTTCACTGGGATTTGCAATACTGACTTTCAACTGAGAAATTTGGATGTGATTTCTTATTTAGGCTCCAAAATGATGATAGGCTATTATTTCCATACTGCAGAGGATGAAAAATCTCACTATTGCAAATCCTGGTGAAATATCTCTAAATGTGAATATTCTAATACTGACAATATATACCACCTAGCATGACTTTAGTTTTCATATAGATTTTGAATGTAAAATTGCTGCAGTGAACATGACTGTACGCACACAGAGCAATGGAGACAGTACGACCACACACAGTCCGCTTCTCCAGTCACCTTACGTACATCTTCACCACCTGCACATTTCGACTGTGTAAATTAGCAAAGTCTGGAAATAAAGCCAGTTACAGCTCTCACACAATTATTACAGTCCATATTCTCACGATGAGTCCTAATGATATAGCAGACCAAGTTCACCAAAACAAGATTTAATGAATAAATAAACAGTGTTCACCTATCAAACTTCCATTTTCAAATGATATTCCATGATCAAGCACAGACTGCCATGATTTTTGACACAATAAGCAACACACTGATTGGTTTCAATGTTGACTCAACAACAAGATGTATTAAATAAACTTTCCTTTGTGATGGAAGTCAGGGATTTAGATGTTATTTGTCTGATTTGAAGGTTTATTCTGTCAACAGAATACATGTGTTACTGATGGAGATGTCTAGGAGTCAAACTAAATACATTCATCATAAACTATACACAGTCTGTTGTATATTAGCATTGAACTGTTTTAATTACTGAAGGTTTTAGCAATACAAAGACCTGCAGTAAGTGCAATGTGAGGATTCTTAAAATAACATCTGTACAGATGTGAAGCCCTGACTATATGTGACTGATCTTTGATGAAAGCTGTTGTCTTGTATTTCTTTCCTCTGAAAACATTAACCTAACAGTCAGACACAATTTATGTAGCCTGTGTAGTTGAGGGGACAGGTCTGCTCTGCAGCAGCAAACTGATATGATGCTGATTTACATGAGAATTCATGTAAATTGGAGGTTGAACCATGAACATAAATTACAGATCACCTGTAAAGAATTTTGTTAGCTTATTCTGAGTGTTTCTATGGCTGCATCCCAAGTCTCTTAAAATTACTGCTAACCACCTTATCTAGCCGCCTTATCTGACTGTTTAGTCCCTCCCACTTAGGAAAACATTTAAGGAGTCAGGAGTTAGGAGTGAGGAGTGAGGATTGCTGATTTGAGACATGAGACGGCCTTACTCTGAAGCGTCATGTAAAGCGACATCCTTTTCTGATGACTGCGGCAACTATGGGCGGCACAGCTGGATCTGCTGCATAACGGAGTCAGCGTTTGGCGTACATCCCAAGTCACATTATATTCACTGATCAAAGCCGTAACCTCTCCTGTTTCCTTCATCATTACACCTAAAAGATCCCTCCTAACGCCTAACGCTAACTCCTTACTGGCAGGAATAAGAGACATGAGACGGCCTTAAAGATGACAGACCTTGAACGACTTCCGGTTCAAGTCAGGAGTTAGGAGTTAGCAGTATACAATTAAGAGACTTGGGATGCAGCCTGGTTCCGGTCTAGAGAGCGGATGCGGAATTCACCAAATTCACCAAAGTAAAAGTCTTCACCAAAGTAAAACTTTAAATTCTGGCGCACCATCGATTTGGGGTGATGAGGGGTGTAAGAAAATCGATTAACTTAATGGCTTGGGGCTTTTCATGTAAATTATATTCTTTAAATTAAAAAGTTTCACAGCATTTTTATTAGCTTGGTGCTTTTATTTGGAAAGGCGCATCCATCGAATTCCGGATCCAGTCTCACTCGCCCTGGTTCCGGTTCCTTACCAAACCAAAACGGCCATTTATGGCCCCAGACTAAAAAAAAACGTATCCGGAGCTAACAATATGCAGGTGTTAGGCTCATTCGGGATGAACTGCGCCTCGCTTGGAAAGTGCACAAGATCAGGCAGCTGCAGCAGGAGGCGGTGAGCCGCAGTGAAGTTGGACAGTTTCCCGACAGTTTTCAGTAGCACAGGAAAGTAGGAGGAAGTCATTGGCTGCATCTCAAGTCTCTTAATTGTATACTGCTAGGGTGACCATATTTTGATTTCCAAAAAAGAGGACACTCAGCCGGCCACGACATAGCCTACTTAAATGATACTCACAGCTTACTCAAAGATGCCTTATCATTTTAATATATTTAAAATTTATATGTATGACATTATCATCAGTTTATAAAAACCCCCCGGACACCCCGGACGGGACGTGAAAAGTGGACATGTCCGGGCAAAAGAGGATGTTTGGGGTACGTCCCAAGTCTCTTATTTTATACTGCTAACTCCTAACTCCTTACTTGAACCGGAAGTCGTTCAAGCTCCGCCATCTTTAAGGCCGTCTCATGTCTCTTATTCCTGCCAGTAAGGGGTCAGCGTTAGATTTAAGAGGGATCTGTTAGGTGCAATGATTAAGGAAACACGAGAGGTTCCTAACAGGAAGTCTTTTTCAGCTTGAGGCCATGACGTATAAATACCCGACCCCTACATCTGGCTCATTTGAACGAGATGGCGGAGAAACAGCTTAAGTGTACCCGTTACATGCATTCTTTGCAATAAAACGCTGTAATTTACATGCCTACGTGACTACAAAGAGTAACGTTAATGATATTTCGTGCAAGACTGTCATGTTGTAATTAAGTTTATTTCATTCACAATCCGTTGCTTTGTTCAGCGGACTGTCGGTGATGTGTGGCTGTTAAATGTGCAGCTGCTCATGTCCAGAACCACACGTGTTGATATAACACTAGGCACACACACACACACACACACACACACACACACACAAACAAACACATTTGCCCATCATTAATTGTCCTGCATGTCATGTGAGTCGAATGTTTAATAGCTTGTAGGTAATATTAATTAGCCTATTAATGCCTATTAATTATGCAGCAGATCCAGCTGTGCCGCCCATAGGTGCCGCCGTCATCAGAAAAGGATGTTGCTTTACGTGACGCTTCAGAGTAAGGCCGTCTCATGTCTCAAATCAGCAAATGGGAATAGCTCAATTAAACTAAAAAATGGCAATCATAGATAAGGAAATCATTATCAGCCAAATGGCTGATGACACGACCCTTTTTTTTTTACAGGATTCCTCTCAAGTCAAAAACTGTGCATTGCCATCTGTCTGTAATATTCCAAATAAGGAAAGAGTCACCTATCTGGGGATAGTTATAACAAAAAAACAGAAAGACAGATGTAAATTGAATTTTATCCCGATTTTAGAAAGAACCAAAAAAGAAAACTTAATCAATGGCTTCAAAGAGACCTATCATTAAAAGGTAGAATACTACTCTCTAAGGCAGAAGGCATATCCAGGCTTACCTACGCTGCTATTTCCTTAGATGTTGATAAAAAGATTAGCCAAGAGATTGACCAGTTACTTTATAACTTTATTTGGAAGAACAGAACTCATTATATTAAAAAATATGTCTTAATGAATGACTATAATAATGGTGGCCTCAACTTTCTTGATTTTAATACACTAAACAACACATCCAAGGTTAATTGGATCAAGCTCTATTTAAAAGAACCTACCTCTGTTTGGAATATTATCTCGCGTCATATGTTTTCGAATTTGGGTGGTCTGAAGTTTCTTCTACTTTGTAATTATAATGTTGATCGGATACCTGTCTCTCTCTCGAATTTCCATAGGCAAATGCTGTTGGCCTGGTCCCTTATTTATAAGCACAATTTTTCTCCTAATAGATATTTTATATGGAACAATAAGGATGTTTGTTACAAAAAGAAATCTTTATTTTTTGACAGTTGGTTCAGGAATGGTATTGTGCAGATGAATCAACTTTTCAATAAGGAGGGAAAACTTTTTGGTTACCAAGAATTTCTTTGTCATTATAAGATCCCTGTGACCCCTAAAGATTTTGCTGTGGTTTTTGATGCCATTCCATCTGGTGTTGTTATGCTCTATAAGGGTAATACCTTTCCTCCTCCTATTACGACACCTTTGATTGATCCAGTTGACACACCTATAGTGAAAATGTGTTTTCAACCAGTGTCCTGTAAAAATAACAAAAAAATCTGCACTTTATTTCAAACTGATTGTATCTCTGTCCCATATGTAACTGCAACCTGGAATAAGCATGTTCAGGACTTATGTACTTTGTTTGAATGATGTATTATTTGGCTTTACAAATTATAGGAGAGAATTAGACAATGTAATCTCATCATATTCCTGGCCAAGTTTTATATTCATAAATGTAAGGTGTTGAAAAAGGAGGCAGAGTCCTACATTAAAACACTATCCACCTCTTGCAATAGAAAAGCTGTGAAAACGCTGAAGCTGTGCTCCAAATTTAATGTACTGTTATGATTTTAATATATATATTTTTAATATTCTGTGCACCATTTTTATTTCATGTTTGTGTTTTGTTTGTAACCCCTGGCGTTGTATATCTGCTTG